CTCGGTGTCTAGAGTGCATATGTAAGCTTTGTTTGTGCAAGAATACGGCTATATAGAGCAAGAGCGTGTGTTTATGTCTTTTTATATTTAGCCCGTCTTTATTGGGATCTCTTTTTGCCTAATTGGGCGCGTCCACACTTTGCCTAACCTCTATCTGGTTTATGTGAATGCCAATTTATATGTTTCTTTGTGCATGTGTTTTACTGGACTGAGCCATGAATTGGCATGCAATTATTTGCACTTGCACTTGCTGTTTGTGTGTGTGTCTGTGTGTGTGTGCGTGCTCGCTGCAGCATGTGGTCAGTCTGTGGTTGCGGCAGTGGGAGGGACAGCAGGGCAGGCTGATAACAGAGTCTGAAGGGACCTCACATCCACCACCACTATTTTTACCGGGCCCAAAAGAGGAGCAAGGCTCATTGCAACACACACTCACATAGAGAACGACACACACACACACACACACACACACACACACACACACACACACACACAAGCAGTTAAACGCCTCACTAGAAAACAAGGCGTACAAATAGGTTTTGATATTTTTCATATTTAGCACTGCCACACCAAGGCTTTTTCTTTTTGTTTTTTTTTTTTTTGCTTCTTAAAGTTGCATCCCCAAACTCTAGAGGGGGGTTGATTGTGATCCTCCAGAAGGTAGTGTTGTCACGATACTGGAATTTCTAACTTTGTTACAATAACTTGAATTATATTCACGTGGCAATTCACAAACAGTGAGGGCATAGAATTTTAGATATTTATTAAATGAAAAATCTAACAAGGCTATATCATAACGACTTTTCTTGTAGCAGAGCACAGCAGAATGACTATTTAAACATTAACAGTACGAGAGAGCGTGAAAGTGCAGCTGGTACCAGTGTATCAATACTGAGGAGTATTGAAACTATTTCAATTATTCAGAAACAATATGTATCAATGAATCAATATTTTTGACTACACTATTACAGATTAGAAAGAATATAGGAATTAATATCTTTATATCAAACCACCCATTATCTGTCTCGCTTATACTTATCTGTTTATATTAAAAATGGATTAAATTAATGTGTCTAATGTGAGGAGTGTCGCTTATAGTGAAAACCCCACAGAGCATTAAATACTAATGCTACTTAAAAGTGAAAATGAATGACAAATAGATTGGAAAGCATAAGTTTGCATAAAGTTCTGTTAATAATGGGGAATTGTTCCCAGTATTGTACTAAAATAAAATAAAATTAAGCACACAGGCTGCTAAAAAAGTCTTAGAGCAATACAAAGAAACTTACCTATTTTATTCCTAACAGTGTGAGGGCATTCAAAGGTCTTCAACACTTACCTAAATGTGTTTTTGGCTTTAATGATGTGTTAGGTGTTTAAATGTTTCATTTAAATGTCTTAATTTTTTCATTTAAAGTTGTTTTTTTTTCACAATCAAAATTTTTGAGCACTAGTTTTCTCTTCCAAGGAGGTAATATTTTAAGTTTATTTTATTTTTTTTTATGTTTGTCTGTTTGTCAGTAGGATTGTGGAAAAACCACTGGCCGTATTTTTATTTTTAAGAGTGTAGCATGGGCCGTGGAAGAATCCATTAGATTTTGGTGTGGATCTAAATCACGGGGTGGATACAGTCACTATTTTTCATCTTTGTTAACATTGCAAGAGAGGGCATTTGGCCTTGGCCGAGGTATGAAGAGGTCTGTGCTTCCTGATTGCCCTTCTAGTGTCTCTGTATGGCAGTGCTTTATGTGTAGTTCCCGGTTTGTTTTTTCCTGGACATGCATGAGCAGGGATAGGCAACCCGTTGCTCTGGAGCTGCATGTGACTGTTAAGCCCCTTGCCTGTGGCTCTCTATGGTTTTGACAAAAAATTATATATAAATGATTAACAGTTATTTTTTTAGATATATAATAAATATATATATAAATATATAATAATAATATAATATATAATATAAATATAATTTTATTTTCATTTATCATTATTATAGGCCTCAAGTGATTCTTTCATTTTCCTGTTGTAAAAATATATAGCCTATACCCGGTATAAAAAAATATTTTAATATTTTGTAATACAACTACAGCCTGGTGCTTTTTACTATAAATCTTGCAGAACCTCAGCGGCTGTGACTAGTCATGAGTCTTCCTAGTTTTCAAAGTTTAAGTACCAAAAAATCATAAATAGCCCACTGCAGAGTAGCCTTGTGATAATGAATGTTTATACCTATTAGTGATGTTGAAAGGCTAATTTAGACTTAATAGGCTGTGTTACTTTAATTATATTGCTCAAATATGATTTGCGGCTCTGGAAAGACGTTTTAATTATTTTATTTACCAAATATGGCTCTTGTGTTGGTAAAAGCTGCTGACCCCTGTGCACAAGGATGCACGTGTTGATGCAACACACATTCCTGCCATTGGTTTCTAATATTTGACTGATCTATAGGCAGTGGTAACACACCAAGAGCCAGAGTTGTGAATGAAAATATTGTCAGAAGACTCCATAGGGCACATTTTAATATCTTAAACCCTCTTCAACTAAATTCACTTGTAGATATTTTGAGTCTATAATAAATGGGTTTAAAACAGAAATAATACAAATGATACATTTCCTACAGGTGTAGCAGTTGTAGCAGGACTCATTAAAGCATGGTGCCTAGCAGTGGTAATCAGAACAAACACAAAAAGAAGTCCACTTCTAGACACAGTCAAGGAAAAAGTCTAAAACTGATGAACAAAAATGAGTGTGCACCAGATCTCTGTGCTGCCGTCTTATCGTCTCCCATTCATTTGAGCTCGATCCAATCCCAGCATCTCCTCCCACATGGGGTGTAGTTCCTCTCTGCCTTTGGGAGGAGGAACAGGGAGGCAGCATTTTCTATAAATATTCCGGTTTTCTCCATGCCGGGCTGGATTGAGCCGGTTGAGCCTCCCATTCAGGGACTTCCCAACCCGGTGGATGAGGTGTAGCTGTGGAGTGGAGGGAGAAGGAATGAGGACTAAGGGCTCTGTCACTGACACTGGAACCAGCGCTGGCACCGATGCTGCAGCCTTTTAATCTGCCGCCCAATGCTTCTGAATGAGTCGACCAATTTCATGACTGGATGTAAAAGCACTGAACACAATGCATACCAGAAACCACTGAGGACCTTGTTTGGTTTGTTTTAGCAGCCTGTAAGAGAAAAATCAACCAAGTTAAATTCTGAGGAGAAGCCAAAAACTTCCAAATCACCTCAGATGTGATTTTTGTTGAGTTTAATGCCACGTCAGATGACTTGTTGACCAGCAAGTCAAAATTCCCAGCCTTCATTTAAGTATACCATCCAAGGCCGCATTTGATAAAGATATGACATAATGTCAGGTTTGGTTGTATAGCAGCAAGTTCAAAAGGCCAAAACGTTTAAGGCTTGCCAGACTTGTCACCAGTCCAAAAAAAACTGAGCATAGGTAATCAAGTCCTGTATTAAACAAACAGGATGATGTGACGCCCTTGTCAAACACAAGATGCATCAAGATCATTGTGTCACTTAGTGAAACGTGTGAAGTTCTACGCTGGTGAACTCTGACCTGGGTTTCTGCCAGTCACATGAGATTTAAAGAAGTCAATAAGGTGATCAGCAAATATTTGCAGAGACTAGTTCAAGTGTGACTGATAGCGTTCAAACCAGTTTTTTGACAGTGGAATCACTTGGAAAGGTTCAATATTTGGTTTGGGAATCGGCTCCAGCACTGGCTCCTCGTAGGTGGAAAAGCCCTTAGAGAGTGACGGCAAGAGGAAGACGGACCCAGGGGTGTGGAGGCTGTTTGTATGAACCAGTGGGTGTTGCCTGGGCGTGGAGACAGCAGGAGAAGAGAAGGGGCAGGCCAGGACTCAGTGGCCAGGCTTGGTGCTACGTGGTCGGCCTGGTTTTTCCCCACGTTTCCTTCCCTGCACTGCGTAATGAATGGCTTCCTACTGGTCTGTGGCCGTGGCCCCGGCTTAAAGAGTATACTTACCAAGGCCCAGAATACACAGCCCAGCCAGCCAGCCAGCCAGCCAGCCAGCCTGTGTCCTGGCCTCTGAACACTCCCAACCACCAGTCCACCTGCTACAAACTGGCTCAGTCACACACTGTCACAGCAGCCACAATGAAAAGAGTGATTTGATCTTTAATGGGAAACATCCTCTTTTTTTTAGAATTCTTGAACATTTTCTGTCTCCATTACATAATGTACAGTTACTGCTGGCGTTTACATATCCCCTTATTTCCGCCACTGGAGCCAGAAGTAAAGTGATGGAAAGGATGGTTGTCTGGGGGGTGGAGGGGTGGCATGTTTATTGTCTGGTTTAAGGGTACTTCCCCATGCTCAACAGTTGGTGAGATTACTGTGCAGTATTAATGTGGTTGTGTCTCTGACTGTATGACTCAACATCATGATTTCAAACAGGATTTTGTTGTTTCGATTTTGAAGAGACACTTAAAGAAAAAGCGGTCAAGACTTGCTCAAACTTCCAGTGAAAGTATATTTCAAAAGACCACAGATGACATAAAGGGACAGTTCACCCTAAAATCAAAAATACTTACCTGTAGTGCTATTTATCAGTCTAGATTGTTTTGGAGTGAGTCTTCGAGTGTTGGAAATATCGACCAAAGAGATGTCTGCCATCTCTCAAATATAATGGAACTAGATGGCTTCAGCTTGTGATGCTCAAAATGCCAAAAAAACTAATTTGGAAAACTCAACAGCAATGTCTCTCTATAGAAATCATGACCCAGTTACTCAAGATAATCTACACACCTTGTTGTAAGCAGTTGCCATCATGCCACCCAATACACATACTGTTGGAGTGTCAGTGTGCCCTGGGTTTCAGGCTTTTGGTTTCACTTTCTGTAGTTCGTTTTTTTGTGGTTGACCACACAGAGCAACTTTTCAGTGGGGCTGACCCCAGCTCATGAATAAATGTAACAGATGATCGTGCTCACACGTATATCAATTCAAGATTGTGTATTTGTGTATATGCAGGTGCTGTTTCTGCTGCGCTCTTACCAAACTGACTCACACAGACCCCTGCCAGCAGGAAATGGCATCACCGAAGGCCTCCATCAGCGCATGTGGCTCGCCTCACGGTAATCCTAGACACACACACCCACACACCCACACACAGACGCATGCACAGATAAGCATCCCTCCCACCCTTCCAACTCTCTTGCCAGAAGAATAGCTCCTTGTATCACCGTTCATCCCCTCCCTGGCTGTGTCCGCTTCGTGTCCTGCCCAGGCTTCCATTTCAAAGCGACCGCCTGCTGTCCATCCGCCGACCCCCCCTTTCCTCCCCTCTCCCCCTTCTACCCCTGGTTCTCTCGCCCAAGATCACCTCAAGATGGGTCACAGATTACCCCACTGGCCCCATCCTGCCCAGCTGGGGTCAGGCCTGGGTCTCCAGTCTCCCCTGTGCCGCAGCTCACAGCAGATAACACAGGGTTGCTGGGTTAGCAACACTAGCCCTGCTAGCTCCGCTTGGTTACACTGATGAGCCTTTATTAAGATGACGAGGTGAATTCTTGCTCACCAGAGCGCGCCCGCCGTCTGTCCGTTTGATCACGCAGCCAGCACCACAGTGCCCGGCGCCCAGATCTAAGGACAACACAGGTCAGAGGATCTCTGTTTTTGGAAAAAGAAAACCTCTTCTCTCTTCCAGAACACCACTAATTTGAAACGGCCACCTTCCAAAAAGGACGGAATGCATTGTTCGTCTGTACTGAGTCAGTGTTGGGTTTTGGCCTCACACTGTCTCTGCGTTGTGTCATTTTGGACTTTTTCTGGCTCCAAGAGGGTGTCAGCGCTGTAAAGATGACTGCAGACACTTGTGGAGCTCTCTGCAGTTGACTTTGGCTTTGTGGTGGCACTTTAGGCCCAGTACCAACCTCTTAGAACAACTCCAGTGTTTGGATTGTAATCTAATGATTCAACTCCTTTCTGCCTGTTTTGTAATGTTACCTCACATTCATACACACATGAACACAGTCAGTCCACTTTACAGGACTCATCCCTGCCCAAATATGTTCTCACTTAAGCCACACACTCCCCCAGCCCTCTTCCCATGCTCCATCACGTGTATTGTGTGTGTGTGTGTGTGTGTGTGTGTGTGTGTGTGTGTGTGTGTGTGTGTGTAGTGTGCAAAGGGTTTGTGTGGCAGCGTGTGTCTTATTAATATCTGAGTGATGAAAATGTGACGTCAAGCTCACACACTGTCTCCCTTGTTTTCACACACACACTTGCAGGCTTTCACAGCCCTGTGGTCATTCCCTCGATTGAACGTACACTGAACTGAACACACACTTGGCGCTGCCCACACATGCTGCTCCACTCACATACAAGCCATTGGCAGCTATAATGCATTTATGTCAACATTCACAAATAATGTAATGATAGTAATCCTACATCGTGACTATAGTGAAACTAAAGAGTCATAAACTTTATAGTAAATCAGTTATTGTATATTTATGGATACGCAGGAAATAATTGGTTCCTTTTTTCAAGCCTTTGCTTTTTTTCTATGCGTGTAAACTGTAAGTGAATCAATCAAATCTGTGCTCACACAGCTGGCGGCATCTCGTGATGGTCCCACTGTCTTGGCTTTTAGGATTTACCACAAAAAAATACACATCACTGTCCTATTCAGCATGTTGTCCTGTGAGCTGTTGACCCAGTAACAACAGTAACTTTTTGTTTGGGTAATCTCTGTTCAAATGACTCTCATCTATTGTCCAGTCATGGCCACATGCACTCACTAAATGGAATCATACTGAGCCCATTATTTTATTAGTTGATCAACAACAGTGTTTTATGTCATGTTACTTTTGTATTCATGTAATCTGTCCGAGATGGGCCGACATAGCAATGAATTACAGACGATTAAAATAAGACAGATGACACAAAATATGCCACAAAATCAGAATGAAACAGAAATGTGATTATAAAAATAATGAAATAAGCTGTTTACTGGCAGCTCAGTATATTTTAGTGTCACGGTACCAAAATGGGTGAAAGTATCACAGTTTTGAGTAGTATCATGATACCACAGCAAAAATGAGGCAGATGTGCCTTTAAATCACTTTTCTATAATACATCAATGATATTTCAATGGAATAAATTACTTATTGACTTATTCATACTTCAAAAACAGCATCAATAAGTGATTAACATAGGGGGATCAAAATAAAATAAATAAATAAAATAAAAATCAACCAGCCACCCTCCTCCTCTGATAAGTTGAGAACAGTCCCTTGAGTGTGGTGAGGTTTGTGGACCGTTACCTGCCACAAAGAGAGAAATGTGAATGGCTTGTTTCTCCTCTGACACGTGACATACTTGTGTGCCGCCACGGCTCGGCTGTTCAGGTATTTCTGGGCATTCATGACACCAACGAAGAGGAAATCATTGGACCTGGAGCCGGGCTTCTCGGTTGCCAGTAAGCCATTATCTTGCGCCGTGGAGCACTATGGCCGTCGTATTCCCGTCTGTGACCCCGTTCAACCCACAACCGGCAGGATTCGCCATTCGTTTCTGCTGCTGGTTGAAATCTGTGCTTACACAGTGTGCTCCTGAATTATTTCTTTTGCTCGCACAAAACTATTTTTAGTCGCAAATGCGAAAAAAAATCACTGCCTACAAGTAAAAAGAAATAAATTATAACTTTCACTGCTTAAAGATCCTCAACTGCTCAGCTAATACCTGAAATGTCACTGGAAAACAAACCACTGCAGCAGCATATTGAGTGCCAGGTGGCCAGCGCGCGCCATTATTGGACGCCGCATGGACATTCACCCTCTTGCGATTGGACTTTGAACTTATCCCACAGTAGTGGTACTGTGAGGTACCGTAGTACTACGGTACTCATTAACATTATGGTATCATATGTACCGTGGTGTTTTAGTACCGCGGTCTACCGTTGGTACCAGTATACCGTGCGACACTAGTATATTTACAATGTTTTTTATCTGGTTTGCAGTTACTTGTGGTATTTTTTGTATTCACATATGTTCAGGTTATTAGATTGTAAACTTTTGGCCCATTAAAGGGTGGCTTCCTTATTATTATTTTTTGTTGTTCTGTAGCTTCACAGTATTGTTCCTTATGGATTCCAATCTGAAAACTCAGATTTTGTATGGTATGTAGGTATTATGTATTTTTTAACATCAAAATTCTTTATTACCAAACGATTAAAAAACGTTTTTCCATGTGATTTTACATAGGTTTCTGCACGATGTTGCTGCTACATATAAACTCACATACAGCTAGGGCTGGGCGACATGACCAAAATCTCGTATCCCGATATAGGTCATTTCATATCCTGATAACGATGCCTATCCCGCACATTTTAATCCAATGAATAAAAAGTTGCCCCCCAACAAAATATAAAACAATAGACATTTTTCTCTCGTCACACGATATATATCGTCATATCGCACTACCCAACATATAGCTGTGAATCCCACATTAGTTTGGTTTTAAAAAAATAACACAATAACACCAACAAACTAAACAATCAAGTCATCACTACCCCAGCAGCTCCCACATGCTGTGAGGTCAATTTACTGTTTCTGTCAATGGAGTATGGTGGCTTTGAGGGAGCGACTGTCTGATGGTTGGTTGACCGCTGCCCCTGTTAAGTTTTTTTGTGTTGTGACTTTTTATAACCAGCTATTGTGGCGTCCAAAGCTATGGAAGCGAATCGTGACTAATATTTAAATTAAAATGTATTTACAGAAATGCTTTTTCATTTTAAGAATGTGGCTGCATTATTTGACTCATAAATAAAATTAATCATCAATCATCCTATTTGCATTTTAATTTTCTTCTTCAAGACTGCTCATTCTTTTACTTAATTAAAATGAAAAAGAAAAAGTCATTTGAGATTTAATTTTCAAAATATGCCCCAGCAAATAGATACCAAAATTCAATTCTCCAGTTGCATCTCTTGTACATAATATACCAACTGTTGATCTATAAATGTGTTTATACAGACAAATGCAGTATTATATTGAATCTCAATGTGTCATCACCCAGTTAAATAAAGGTTAGATGATAATAACAATAAATTAACATATTCTAAGCTAACACTTCCTCACTCTCCATGCTTACACTGTCAGCAAACAGCGTGTTTTAGGGGTGAGGGAAAGGAGGGCATCAGCACTGTAACCCACGTCACCGCTACTTGCTAACGACCTAGTGGGAGTTTGACATTTGAAAAACACTACAGTACACAGTACCTGGCTGCACATAAAAACATCTTGCATTTCATACATCTGGGTTAAGGAATTCTCTCTCAAAAAATAGATCTTTTCTGTCAAACTAGGAGACACAAACACAAGACCCACTAAGCAAACAATAGAGAGCTCTGGAAATAAGCGAACAAATGTAGCTTGAGTTGAAATTGTTTTATATAACGTCTATTTAGAAGGTTAAGAATGAACTACCATGCTCATAAAACTTCTTACTTATCTTATACTCTTATTTATTTAATACTCTTTTAGTCTTCCTACCTGTGTCTTCTTAATCTGAAGAAGTTATATGTACTTTCATTTCTTACCTGTGGATTTTTTTTAAAACTTCATTATTTAGAGCAAGTTGAGCTGCCTCTGTGTACGAAATGTGCCATATAAATAAACTCGCCTTGCCTCACCATATTTCACTTTTAAACAGACAGAAAGCATTGATAGCACAACAGGAGGTCTGATCAGGATGGGGGAGTGACATCAGCTCTTGAGATCACACCCAATCATGTAGATCCTCACAACCAATTGATTCACTGAGTTACAAATATCCAGTGACCTAATTCAGCAGTGTGTGGTGAGACATGAACCTATTTCTGAAGATAATCTCTGTCTAGGATCTTAATGAAAAACAGATAATCAATGACTGAAGGCAGGGTGTTTTCTCTTTAACTTAATAAATGGTTAAGGAACATTTAAGGAGCTTCCCTAATAAAAGGGAGCTTTCATTCTAAAATGTTCTTTCTTCACTGTCCTGTGCTGGATCAAAGGCAAAACTAAATATGGCTGCAAGCGACATTCCCGGGGTTCTGTGACATAGACTGTAACATTATTGGTGTCGTCCCTGTCTCACGCTGTTCTTCCGGACTCCAGAAGTCACATTCAAAAACTTAGCAAACTGTCTATATGGGCTGAAATTGTCAGCAGTGTTTCAGCAAAACAAAATCATTCTGTCATTCTTTTTTGTTATTCTTTTTCTTATGATAGTGTTCATCTTTGATGTCACAATATATAAAATGATGCAGTCATAACGGGACAGGATGTAAAATCCTGTAACGTTACTGTGCCCTGTCAGTCGAAATGGTTCTTTGGTTTCTGACATCATATTTGCCGGTTCTAAGTTCTTCAGCTTGTCAACAAGTGCATGTGTACAGCTGTCCATGAGACTCTTTCAGATAGGGGTGACACGTTGAGGACAGCCTATGTCACAATCTTTGAAACATAACATTGATAGTGATGTACACGCTGCTGTCGGATTGTCAATGTTTTTCTGAGAGCCTTGAACCAGATTACCACAGTTTCTGTCAGGACAGTATAACAGTTTGCAACCTGCAGGAACAATTTGTTTTTACAACAGTGGGGTACCACTCTGAAACTGAAACGGAGCCACAGCGCAAAAATACCAATTCTTGCATAATGTTGCTTTAAAGATAACTAGCAGGTTTTTATCATGATCGGAAAGATGCTCATGAATTTATGACCAAATCTGTGGCAGGTCACGCTCTTCTTTGGTAGCGCTGTCACCTCCTAACAGCTTCATTAAAAATATACTTAGATAATGTTTGGACAGACTCAGACAGTCATTGATTTATAGCCAAATTTTGGGCCAGCCCATTGCATTTGTTGGAACTGGCAGCTCCAGTAATAATCGGACAAACAATTTTTGATTTATAGTCTGATTTGTGTTTTGCCACACCTTTTTTTGTTAGTTTTATCATTTGTAGCTCCCCCAAGTGGTTGAGTTGAATGAAACTTTCAGAGTATGTTTCAGGTACTTATGTGGACATATCCTGCAAGTTTCATGATGACCGGCCCAACGGTTGTGAAGTTAGGGATATTTATGTGCTGAGCCACGCCCTATTAAAGTTCATTGGTCAATATCTTGAAAATGCAATGTGATATCAACAAGCTTTTGAAAACTTTTGACAAGCTTGGTCCAGCTTGATGATCTGATTTTGATTGTAAAAATTTGGTAAAAAATGGACTTAACAGCTTCGTCGGAGATGTCAAACACGCTGTTTTCAAAAAATTCAAAATGGCAGAAAATCTAGTCACATGTACTTCAGTGGTTCTTGAGGCAAATTTGTAGAGTGAGTATAAGATGGATGTTTGTACCAAGTTTAGTGACAGCATTGCCTTTTGAAGTTGAGCTTTAGTCACAGAGTCCTGATCAGGCTGATAGGGGTCATATTTGTTAAACAGCATTTGGTCACAATTACCAGTCATTGGTGAAAATTTCATGCATCTACAATGCACCATCTCACAGGAAAAATAATAAACCAGCATTTGTTCATTTGTTGGATGAAATAGTTTAAGGAAACATTTTTGTTTCCTTCTCTCTTTTCAGACAAAATGGCTGTGTGGTGACCAGAGGAGCCTTTCTGGATGTGCTGGTGTGTCTGTGTGGGCCCAAGATCAGTCTTCTGGATGGTGAGTAGTTACTGTGGGGTCGCTGTGTTAGACTCAAGTTTTAATGAGAAATACATGAAGCAGAATACAAACACAACTTTTATTTCACTGTCTGGTAAATCGAGGAGAATCTCTGCGACCACATGGTGACATAAGTTTGTGTCACATGGTTACCAAATAGTCTTGCATAACTACACTGTACTTATACAACAATGTTAAACAGTTGTTAATGGTTTCCCCATCGGAAAGGGCATCTGATAGCAAGGTAAATCGCCAAAAAATTATAAAATACTATCCCTTTACTAATTATATAATTTACTTTCTAAATCAATGTTGAGTTTTTCTGTATGTTAAATTCTCATATTGAGTGGAAAATATCTGAATGTTGGTCTTGAACAGGTTAAAAAACATGTTTATTTCACTTGTGTTTTAAGTCTTGTTTGTGATGTTGATGATCTTTTGCTGATGTCAGCCAGTTGCTGGGGAATTTATCAGCTCAGTAAACAGCAACTGTGTTCCCTCCATTTGCTGTGAATTGGACTTTGAATACTTCTAAGTCTGAGCAGACAACCCCGCAACGTTTGCTGGCGAGGCTGTCCGCTGCTCTCCATTTAGACTGATTGTTGACAGAAGTCAGTTTCATCCCCCGGTGTGTGTCTCTGCGTGTGTGTGTCTGTGTACGTGGTGTGGTTGTGTGCACATGTGCGCAGACTGGCGGGGGTCTCTGCACTGCAGGAATGTGAAACCAAAGGCGAGCGATCTCTGACAGATGGTGGGATTGTGCCTATGACCCAGTTTGTGTCGGAGCGCTGTACTCAGAGGGGGAAAAAAAGAGAGGGGGGGGGGGGGCACTTATGTTTTCGGTTGGCCATGTGCTGAACACATGTTGGTCTTGACAGTGGAAATACCGAGGATTTCTCAAAACAAGCCTGCAGATTGAGCACCCGGCCTGGCCCGACTTGGCTCTGCTCCTTACATAACTAAATAAGCACCCTCTAGCTCACACACCTCTAATGCCTCTCTATTATTATCATTAGTCTGTCTTTGGCTTCATTTCTCACCCTCACTGGTAGTGTTTGAGTCCTGCGTTGGTCTGTCTCTCCATTTTTTCCTTCCTTCTACTCCTCCTTTCCGATCCCTCACCCTTTTCCTCTTGTGTAATAGCACTTTTCAAACAAATCAGATGTTGAGTTAAAAAGCCACAGGTTGGGCAAGTTCATATGAAAGCAGCAGGCTCTTAAGAGTGCCTGGCACCAGGGGTAAAGGAGGTGAACAATCGGCTTTTTCAATATTACTTCTCTTTTTTTCCTTTTTAACTGGCAACCGGCATTAAGTAGGAACTTTGCATTTACCAGCCAATTCCTCTCGGCTCTGAACACAGGTCTTTGTGTGTGTGTGTGTGTGTGTGTGTGTGTGTGTGTGCCCACATTTCTTTGCCCCAGCCCTTTGATCCATGCAGACTCATAAAAAAGCCCCCACCGTCCATTGCTTCATCTCCACCTCCACCAGTCTTCTGTTTCTCTGCTTTTCAGCCATGCCAGTAAAAAGAGCTGAATAGTTTGCTATGAGGGAGGTCGAGGAAAGTAGGAAAAAGAAAAAAACACACACATAAATGTTTAAAGTATTACTGAATGTGATGGAATCTCATGTGTCTCTATTAGTGTGGTTGCAGATGCTGATGGTAAAATATGATGTTAAATGACTCATTATTCCTCCGCACTCAATCTGGAATAAGTATTCATTAATACCCTGGAAAATCTTTGTCGTAACAAGTGTGTCTGTGCTGAAGACTTTAAATCAGAAATTTCATATTGTAAGTTTGCTAGACGGAAATTTTTATCCAGTGAAGTCACTTGAATCAGCGTTGCTGGGGATTAAGAGACTACAGGTTTACAAATGAGGCTAGCAGCTTGAGGCTACATTAGCCACTTTTAGCATAACACACCCGAATCTGTGACTGAACTGTCAGTAGTCAGTGCAATGCTAGTCTGGCTCTCACAGGAGGTAGACTGTGGATTTAAGTCATTGTCCACCTATTTCAGGTGGTAACACGTTCCCTGCATGTTACCATTTCCCAGAGGTGGGAATAAGTCACACATGTGCAAATCACATGCAAATTTCACGTCTCAAGCAAGTGCCAAGTTACTGTGGTGAGATTCAAGCAAGTCATGTTGAGTCATTGCTGTAAATCAAGCAAGTCATAATTGACTTATGACTTACTTGACTTACAGCAATCACATGTCATACAAATTTCCGATGATTCAGTAGGCTAGTAGGTTAGCAAAAAAGACACCTCTTAGACATCTCTGCCAGTAGGTTCCCAGGTTTGCCCACATTACACTAGAAATCACCCAAGCATGTTTCAAAAACAAAACGTAAATTTTCAATATCTAGAAAAATCCAAACATTTCATAAAAAGTCCTTTCGAGTCATCTATCTGAAGTCTGAGTTGAGTCTCAAGTCATGAATACAAAGTCAAAGTAGAGTCATTTATCAGTTTGTCGAGCAGCGCTCAAGTTCTCAAGTTTGTGACCTAAGTCTGTCTCGAGTACAGTCATGTGACTCGAGACCCTGCACTGTGCATGAAAAACCTTCGAGCTAGCAATGTACTGTTGTCATAAGCTGAGATTTAGCTATCTTAGTGGCAACACTAGCCTCTCCACCAAAGCAAGTTCCCTCCCAACACTTGCTGCATCCTTGGTTTAGCATTCCCCAACACAATGTGATTTGTCCAGTGCATTTTTTCCCCTTAGTGTGGAATTATTATGGGTTCAGCCAGAACTTTCTCCAGCACTGGCACATTGCAAGATAGGTCTGACTATGCAAGACTAGTGCAAGGCTTAATCACTGTGAACAATGTTTTTACTGGTGGGTCCCCACTTTGTTTGTAGTCGTGCACAAGGACACTTATGCATGTGCACAAGGCAACATAATACCCATTTCTGCTGATGGTATTACACTTAACCACTAATTGACAGTTGGCAAGTTAGCAAAGGTGGATGTTAACAAAGCAGTTTTTAAAACATTTAAAAAACCCTAATGTTTTATGAGGAAAATGCATCCACGCCTCACGGATACCCCCAGTGTTTTAGTGAGAAACACTAGAATTGAATCTAAATTAGTTTGTGTATTTATGTGTGTGTGTATTAGTGTTTTTATTTGACCTCTGTATTTATTTGTTTTATTTGTTTTATATGCACTCACTTGCAATTGAGATAGGCCAGTGCAATACCTGTAGTTCCCTTGTTTGTAACCTTACATACAAGGCAAATGGTTGCACTACTCTTGCAACAGTAGTCTGCAACTGTAACACACGCAGCACACTATGTTGGCAGCTGGTCTGTGTTGATTGTATGTATGTATGTGAATATTGCAGCTGTTTGCACTATACTGCCCAAGACGAATTTCCCCTGCGAGACAATAAAGTTTATCTTATCTTATCTTATCTTATCTTAGTTTGTTTACAGGGAAGCTCCACGAAGCACCTATATGCTAGATCTGAATTAAGAAAAAAAAAATATAAAAGAAACATGAAACACTGTTAATTTCTAACAGTTTAGCTGTGTTAAACAGGAGAAATGATAACAGCATCACATAAGGCTCTCAGCATGCATGCGTAACATGTGAGGGTTGTATTAAGATAGACTTGAAAATATCCAAACCCGTCCTTTAATCTGTAGTATACAAAAATCATGTTACCATAATTAGGCTTCTGGCAACTTTTAGCAGATGAGATTAATGTTCATCTTTGGCAGCTTGGTAAACCATGCAGTTCCATATTTGGATACTCGTACATATTTAACTTTGTGCTTTCTTTTTGGGAATTTTGCATCAACCGCTGCAGTTTGATGTAAAGAGAAGAGCTTCTTCCTCCTTTTTCTATGAAATACTACAGGATACTGCAGCCCACACATTACACTACATGGGTCCCAACATGGTGGCAGGGACCCCCATTGGAGTTTCAACATACATCTGAGGGGACAGGAAGAAAAAAACATTTCTGCTCTAAAAATAATTTGTATTTCCTAACTTTTGTAAATAAATTCTGAATAATGATACTAATGATGATCATTATCTGAACAATGATATGACTGAAATGAAACTAAGGAGGGAACATCAAAAAGGTTGCAGGCCAGTGAACTAGAGGAGTTGGTGAATGAAATTCATGCCTTTAAAACCTATCAGATGAAACTACTGAGTATATAGAATGTAATATAAAGAACTATTGACATAGTATTAATATTCTAACACAGGAGAAAGCAGAGCTTTAGTCTGGAGTTATCTGCTAAAACATTTTTCATTTGCACTTCATTTTCCCTCCTGTAGATGCACTGCTTTTGTCATGTTTTTTTGGCGGACAATCCGCCGTATTATTTAACAGTAATGTGGCCAGTGAAGTAGTAAAACTGTAAAACTTCCCCATGAATTTAGGAATCTGCCAGCTCCTGTGGCAAGCAGACAGAGTCGTCATTTCTTAGCTTGCTGTTATTTATATTATATTTAGGACAAAGAGCAACCCACAAACACACATGTACATGTATATATATATGTAGGGACATATATAAAGGGACAGCGCTTTTAGGGTAATTAGAGGGAGGGACCTCACCAAATTGTAAAGCTCAGTCAGCATGAGAAGGAGGTCAGCTCTCTCACACTCTCAGACATACAGACATATACACACACAAAGTGTCTGGGGTTTGTTTTTCACAGTTTGGGTAATGAAGGTGGAAGCTGATGTAAAATCCAGCTGTGTGCTTGCGTGTGAGAGCGCGTGCAAGTGTCTCGCCAAAGTTCTAGCTTGACACAGCAAAGTGTCTGCCAGTATTTAGTGGGCTATGGACGGTGCTAATGGAGAGCACTTGAGTTTACTAGCACCCTCACAGCACACACACAGATACACACCCAAGTATGAATCCAGCACAGTTTAGTTTTTGTGGTGTATCAGTACAAGTGAACTTAAAATTTACTCAGTACAGCACACATCACTTATTACATTACTTCACACACATGACTTGCATATA